TCATTAGAAGTTGTACAAGATTCCAGCCGCACGGTCCCTATTGTAGCTGGACGTACTCGTTTTCCGACATACTGTCTTCTTTGACAGCCGTACTCCTCATTTTGTAGTTACGTCGCTTCTTTGGACAATGTTGAGCAGTGTGCTTAGGTTCTCCACAATATAAGCACAATCCTTCTTGTCGACGACGAGACTTTTCTTGTTCAGTAAGAGGTTTGAAACGTACCGCATCAATTTGCATATCCTCTACTTCTGAAGGTATGTGTTGAGGAGACGTCGGTGTTGCCATTGAATTGTAGTAACGTTGAGGCCTACTTGTGCGACTCTCGGATCGAAATTCAAAAAGTCGATTGTCGCACTTCACAGCAAAGTCAATTGCTTGACTCAATGTTTGAGGATCAGGTAAATTAAGCATCAATTTCTTTACCTCATATTGTAATCCGTAGAGAAATTGACGCACAAGTGCGGCATCATCCCACTTGATATCAGTTGCAAGTTGTCGAAATTGCGAAGCATATAATGTTACTGATCGATTGCCTTGTCGCAAAATACGGATCTTGTTGGTTGCAACACGAATTGCATCATGTTCTCCAAACATGGATCGAAACTCTGCCAAAAAAGCCTCCAGATTATCCAATATTGGATCTCGTCGTTCAAGAAAAGATGAAAACCATGACAATGCTGAACCTGAAAGAAGTGTACCAATGAATCTAACTTGTGACCCTGGAGTTGGATAGCTCTGGGGTTGAAGTTCAATCACTAATTGGACCTGATTGATGAATCCTCGAAACTTGGATCTGGTACCATCAAACTTCTCGGGCAAGGCCACTCTCGGTTCTCTAACACTCGAAGGGTGTTCCATTCTGGGAGAAGGGACATGGTTTGGTGCAGATGTTGAAGCAGCCCCAATCATCTCTATATCTTCACTTCCTACCATTCTTGTTGCTCCTTGTGGTGGTAAATTGAGTTGATGCATCGCAAGCATTAACTCCCTCAATTGTTCTTGCATCTGTGCCATTGCACTCTTCATTTCAACAAGCTCTGCCATAGTAGCACTTAGAAAAGAGAAGATGTCTAATAACGCTCAAAACAAATAGAAGAGAGGAATTGATAACAAAGAAAATACTAAGAACAATATCAGTTTAAAAGAGGGTAATCCGCAACTTCTAATGCGCTTATGTCTTATCAAGAAAATGGGGTAATCCACTCTTAATCAAGAAAAGACAAAGCTCTGATATTGTAAGTGTACTCTTGTCAATCTGTCAAGGACAAGAACTCGATGAAAGCTAAAGAGTAAGTGAGACTTTTCTCAAAGAAATAGGACAAAATAGAAATATGTATATTAAGAAAGAAACTGGAATGGCTATTGCCAAAATACAAGAAAACTAGAGACCCTTGAAACTAGACTAGAAGCAAGAAAGGAGTTGACAAGAGTGAAGAGGGCTTCACTCTTGCCTCTATATATACTATCTAACTAGAAGCCACGTGGCGATGTTCTATAAGACCTCCAATATATGTTGAATTTCTAGGCCACATGCCTTTGCTTGCAAGGCAAGTTTTCTATGGATGGACCACGTAGTTAGCTTGTTCTTTAAGCTTCCAACATGTGTGGCACATGGCTAACTTATTGACCAAGTTTCTAGCCTAAAAGTCAACTATAGACTCCTATAAAGTCAAAGCAGCGTCTATAAAGCTTCTAAGAAGCTTCTCTAGAAGATATTACATAATTAACCTACTTTTATCTATTTTTACATACTTTGATGTATTCATATAGGTAATTATATGTATGTCCGTGACATAGGGTTTTGGCAATATCTCAAGATTTGTAACAAATTTGCAATTAAATTTTTTTATAGTAGTTGTTAAAAATATATCAATATTTCATAAAAAATTTGGATTTGATTGGATAGTCCGATCATGAGATATGAGTTGTTGAAATTTAGAAAGAATTCACCTTAAGGATATATAAGGTTTTATAATATTTTATTACATTTTTGGTGATCTATGGTACTTAAGGCTTATGTATTGATGTAATTTCTCTTATAGGGATAATATTATATATAGACTTGGTATTTTTTTGTTTTTTTTTTATTTATTTTTTTATCTAGAGGCTTTACTGAGCAATTAGTGACAACTAGAAGCTCGGCACTTTCTTAAGGCAAATTTTCTTTGCCACAATAGTGGCTTATTTTCTTAGGTGTGGTTTGGTTGCTGGTGGTTTTGATTGTGTAATGGACTTTGATGTACGAGATTTGAGTATAGATTGTAAGTATGAGGTATTAATGCTATCCTTCAACTTGCTCAAGCTTAGCTTGATGGAGTCTAAGTTATGTTGAAACTTCTCGATAAACATTTGGAGACATTTAAGTACATCCAAGATGTTAAGGTTGAAATTATCATCAAGTACTTGAAATGAATATTAGGAATGAAAGGCATAGATCAACATAGCGCATTGAAATGGAGATTCTTAATTACATTTGTTCTTTGATTAATGGTTAGTTGTCTTAGTTTTTTAATTACTAATTGATTCAAAAAATTTAAAGCTTATCAATTTTGGTATTGTTGATTCAAAGTTTATCATGCTCATTTGCAATTTTGGTGTTCCTTGTCCTAAATTGTTTTCCTTCACTTCATACTAACTTCCTGCAAATATTTTAGAACTAACTTCTTTGTTTTTATTTTAATTTGTTTCTTTGTTTTTCTTTTGTAATTATACAATAGGATAGAGCCTTTGGCCACTAAAGAATACAAATTTCACACGTAGTACTCAAAACTCAAGGCAATTGTGAATTTTTGGTGAACAATTTATAATAGATGAACAATTTAATCTAAATTAGTGAATAATTTACATTATATTGAATTCATCTAGATTGGGTTCATCACAATTTGTAGTTGTAATAACTTGGTTGTGACATTTAATTGGCTATTTAGAAAGAATCATTCTAGGTTAAATTTAAGTATCTATGAATTTATGTGCATCTTTCTTACAAGTGAAGCAAAAAATTGTTGGAATTGGATTTCAAAACAAATGTAGATGACAATAGAATCTCATCATTTCTAGATTGTTGTGATACTTGGCCCAAAAAAATTATATGTGATATGCTCATACTTGTTCGAGAGTTCTACTGTAATAGTATTTGTGATGGATGGTGATCTTACAAGCATTAATTTTCTTTAAGAAAACATGGAACTGGACTTTAGGAGGTTATGTATGTTATGCATATGTATAATATGAGTTATGAGGTGATTTAATATAATGAATTATAAGACAAGCTTGCTCCAAAAATGTAGCTTGAATAATAGAAATAGTAATGGTGAGTTTCTTGTGACCATGCAAAAAGCATTAGATTACAAAACATTAGAACATTTCATAATTGTGAATCAAACCAAGGTCATGAAATACATCTTCTATCATTAAAATAAAAAAATTTCTAAAAAGTGCAAATAGAAGAAAGCATGTATAATGAATCACTATTATCGCTCATATTCAAAATACTAAATTGATATAAAAGCATGAAAATTATCTTATTGAAGAAGAAAAATTATCATATAATCCATTTATGTAAGATTGTTGCCTCTCCAATCCCCTTATCTAGCACCTTCTCTTTCTTCAATAATATCCATCATTACATTTTATACCCTTAGATCAAGATGCCATCCAAGGATTTCATGTGGAAAAAGAAGAACATAATGAAGGAGCAAATAAGCAGGATGAGCTTCATAACTCCTTTCTAATAGTCCATTACTACATAGGCAAATAATAATATCACAAAGTAGATTATGCTCTGATCCATCTTCAAGCAATATAATAGCAAATTCTTTAAAAGTGGTGAGAAGATTATATTGATGTCTATTGCTTTCATTCATGAAGTATAAAGAAACAACAAGATCTACTTCTACTACTCTTTTATTTCATGTTTGAGATAGTATTTTATGTGTTTGTCTATTTGATCCAATAAACAAATTATTTTTCCTCAAAACTTCTCCAATTTTCCACATAGTTTGGCTCAATAATCTACAATTATAATTCATTCTTCTATCTTGCACGAATGATGCATTGTAGATATATAATTGTGTATAACTTGGATCAATTTCTTTTTTTTGATAACAATGCTCTTGCTAAACGGCACAACTTTCTACATCCCTACAAATTTTTACATATTTTCAAATTTTTCAATATTTCAGCAATACTCACCGCAATATTTTACTGCAATATCATAAATATCATAAAATTACAACTCCAGCCTCCTCGAAGAAAGTTCCACCAGACAATTGGAGTAAATGAATACATCCATAACAACAGCAATTTATAAGTACAAAAGTTGATTCGAGCAGCAAGATCGTAAGCCCATGCTGTTGCTTCTTCCCTCATGGGATAACAAAGAAACCTCCCAAAAGCAGGATCCACGATGAACCCGTCTTGTTAATCCACGATGAATTTCTTCTGAAATTCTGATTGCAAAGCACAATGTAATTCATAATTCATAAATTCGACAAAACACCAATGTTCGAAACCAATGTTTGAAACACACAGAACACATTGCTCTTACTCGAAACACATAACTTAAACACATGCTGAGCCTTCCCCGATGTATTTGCCTTTCCAGCGTCTATATGATTGCATTACAGTATGAAGTGCATGAATCTGAGGAGGAGAAAATCAGTGTGAAACACCATGAAAAACACCCTGTAGAACTCCCCGATCACCTGTAAAACGGGTTGTGAGCTCCACAAAACATGAACCTTTTTGATGAAAACGAAGGCCCATCCATGCGGTGCAGGAGAGCCACCACTTGTCTCCTTGAGCGATCTTCATATATAGAATACTTTGGTACAGTAGCTTGAACTCAATGGCAAAGATTACTTCAGCAAACTCTACTTTAAGGGCACTAGAACGGAAAGAAAGAATGGATGAAACAGGGAGAAAAAAAGGGTCTCAAGTGTTGGTTTTCAACCCCAATGCAGGTGTGGTGGTGGGCTACCGCCGGAGAGAGAGCCTAAGACCGACAAGTCCGCGCATGACCGTGGGCTCGTCCTCGTTCATGACCACGATGCATCCCAGCCTGCTGCGTCGACATTTTGTGGTGCGAGTCGTCCGATTGCGAGCAACTTTGCTTGTGTCTGTGCTGATCGCGCCGATCTCATGACTCCTGCGTTGTTTCTGAAGGGGAAAATCGATTGAATTGGAGGTTTCCCGAGTTTTTCAGATGTAATTTACAGTGTTTCGAGTTTCCCAATTGTTTGTTAAATGTTGGCGAATTCCGCGATTTGTATCTCTGATGTGTGCGTGTAGTTGCGATTCTAATCGTGTGAACGTTGTTTGTGATGTTTTTGTGTTTTTTTTCTGTCGTTTGTCGTTGTGGCCGTCTCTGGTCATGGTTTTCTGAGGTTTGCGTTTGTTTAGAGGGTGTTGAAAGGGTGGTTCGGAAATCGCTGGTCGTTTTTCATGGTCTTTCGGGGGTCTAAGTATAAGGTCTCTCATGCAAGCAGCGAATTGAGTCTCCTAAATGTGTCAATTGGACTATCGCCTGTAGTTCTCACGTCTGAACAGATGTCTTACTTGAGAAAGTTGTCACCAGCAATGCGGCTCGTGCCTCTTGTGTTGGTACTTTCCTGTTTCAACAAGGATCCCTTCTCGGTTTTTCTTGAGTTTTCCTACGAATCGTGGCACGCATAATGGCGAGGGTTTCAAGATATAGCGGAGTGAAAAACTTGAATTGATCTTTGAAGCAGTTTTCGAATGTGCAGCTTTTGGGTTTGCGAAATCTCTGGACTGTGCTCTTCATCTTTAAGCCAACTGAGTATTTCGATCTTCAACATCCTTTGAGATAGTGAACGTCTCATGTTAGAAACCATTTGATCATGGAATCAAATATCGTTAACCGACTCTTCCTTACTCGGTCCTAATTTTATACCGATTCCCTTTCCCTGTCCACTTGCTTGCCTCCCGTGCCGTATTCGTGAAGCTTCGGCGTTGCCTGGGGCTATCCAGAAAGTACTCGAATTGAATTATACTGTCCCTGCTCATGTGCACTACACCTTTAGCGGTTACATAACTACTAGGTTGGTGATTCAACTCAGTTTCATGTGAAATCACTGATGGACTCGTTTCCTCTTGCTATTAAACTGTTCTTAATTGAAATTTCCAAATATTTAAATGTTGTAACTTTTCCAAGGCATATAGTTTCTGTCATGCTGTCTTCAGCTGATGGGAATTTGGCGTTACGTTCAGATCTAGACTGAATGTTTTATTTGCTTGTCGTGACAAGCTCCCGTCTGCTGTAATTTTCTTGTACCTTAGCAAATATCCTGCTGGAATCGCAGATTACGAGGGTTTTGTTGGTCGAAATGGGTCAATTTTCTCGTTGGTTTGCTGCGAAGAACTCTGGAACCATCACCCTCATCCCCTATGCATTTTCTGTCTTTGCCACAGACTTTAAATTCAATTGGGAGTATTGTCTTTGTCGAGGGTTTTTTCCCTGTTATTAAAAGCGCTCGCTGGCATTGTGACTATCTTTGAAGCCGCCCGGGAAGTCCTTTTTCAAAGGTTTCCTGAAAATTGTGGATCCTATCAGTATGTGGCCTAAGTTGACAACTTGAACCACAACTCGAGCTCTGCAAAACAGTTTTCAATTCTAATTCTGGGTCATTGCTGTGATTGCTGAAAGACGACCAAATGCCAGTCTCATTCATACTTCTCTGTTTAAACATAGTCGATTCGAACCACAGAATTTGGATTGTATACAAATGAGAAGAGCAATCAGTCTCTTTTAGGAAAACCAATGCTCAGCGAAGGTTGTCCTGAACCAAACTCGTCTTCGACATTTAGTTGGAATAACTCAGGCTCATGTCAGTATTCTCACCATTGTTAATCACTGTAACCACGATTGCAGTGTCACTTAATTTCGGTCTACGCTACAATTTCTGACAAAAACATTCAACTCACTAGACAGCGAAGATGAGCCACGTACAGGATGAAAAGATGGTGAGCTCGGGTGGTTCCCTCTCGCATGACTTCTTGCGGCTGATCTGGCACCTAATGAAGTTGATGTTGCTGACGAGCCTATTGTGCGCGACGTTGCTATTTTTACCCCATACAACCTGTCGAAGCACAGTTGGCCGTGTGATGGTGGCAAATAACGACTCTGTGAGCGTTTCGCCACTACAAGACCTGCTTAAGGGGCAAACGCTGGGAGTACAGATGTTGTAAGTATGCTACTATGATGCCTCTACTATTTCATTTTATTTTTTATTAAAGAACTGGTTTTCCTTAATTTAGATAACGGTGCACTGAAATCTTTGTGATCTAATATTCAGTGCTACGAATGTATGTGGTTAGTGTATGTGATATGTAATGTTCATGACTGCAACTTTCATTTTTTCGTGCGTAGAGATACCGACTCTGAAATGATGAGGACAATGAACGAGCATTCTACATTGGAGCTCAAAACAGTAGTAATAGCAGAGACGGTAGTTCCATACGAGGACCGCCACCTTCTGTCCGTGTATGTTAAACAGCAGCTCGATGCATCAGATGTTACGAGTGAAGCTCAGATGGAAGCTGTGCTAACTATGGTCAATTTGGCACCGATGGAAGCTGTTTTGAGCAAGGAAGAGATTGGAGAGAAGGGATCTCTTCGCAACTCTGCTGTTTTGGCTTTGATCAAGAAATACGCAGAGAACGTTCACTTTATGCTCATCGGGTAACGTTCATTTGTATCATGCAATGGGTACCTTGCATCCATAACTGATGAAAAGTTCCCTGTCTCACAAATTATTGATGGAACTTATAGGCATTTTTTTATATATTTCTCACGAGCTTTCTTTTGTTCTCATTCAAGGATAATTAGTGTGCTGTACGTGCAGGGTGCGAGCAGAGCCACGGTTAGGTTTGTATTGGATTTCCCTTTCTCAGCGTAATGCGTGGAATGAAGTGTTGTCTCGAGTCCTAGTTGACAAGGTGCGCAACATTCTATTGTTTCTTAGACCTCCAACATGACTTGGACGCAAATGAACCTTCTCGTGTTACACCTTGGTTATTTGTGTTGCAACCTACAGTATTCAAATCCACAAAAGATGTGAAGACGGTTGATTTTTTTAAAAGTTATAAAACTTACAAATTCCTCTGCAGATCCGAGGTGAGGCTAGGAATTACCTGTGGCATCGCCACGGCAATGAAGTTTCCGATCACTTGGTTGGAGCTAGGACTGAACTATGAGACATTGATCTTTCACCCCGCAGACTTAGTCTTGAGGGTGGAGTTTTTGTGAAGCGCTCCAAGCGTAATTAATGTAAGTCAGTTTCAGCTTCAGAATCTATGACCTATTTTGTCGAGCATTGTGCACCCGAATCTAGTCCTATGTGGACTCAAGTCCGCATTTCTTCTCTGAATTTGGAGGGACGCCATTGGATAGACCACGAACAAATTGAGATTGTTCTCGAAGTTGTACACTTCAAGAAACCCTCTTAGGTTTTTGGATTCCCACTTTGTAGATGCTTTTCAATTACCGTGTGGTAAGTTTGAGGACTGAACCTGTAGAGTACTGCCTTATTTGTGTTGCTTTTATGTTCTTTAATGAAGATCTCGGGCAAGTCATTCTCAAGGAATGAGAACTGGGGCTTTGGTAAAATTTACCATGAAGTTTCTGATCTCGGGACTGTATCTTGGTATAATAAATATGAGAGACACTCATTGCAATATCTTGACATGTGTCTGAGTTTAAACTCTGCATTAGCACATTCATTCCATAACGCAGAGCAGCCAAGTCGCAGTCAAGTTCAATTAACTCCTGTGATGGGGGTAGAGTAAGTTTTTTTATTTTGTAATTTTGTCTTCATTGGGAAGAATTACACACAGGAGAGGACTACCTTCAATTGACTCGATGCAAAGCTGAGTTGAGAACCAGACTCGCAAATGAGTACCGTGGCTGCAGCCACAAGAGATTTTAGAATATCCAAACACAGGTTAAACTCTCCGCATCCACATTGTGTATGACTGCACTGTGCAAGGTCTTTAACATAATCTGTTTAGGGTTTAGGGTTTAACAATCCCACTGTGCAAGGTCTTTAACATAACTCATGTTTAGGGTTTAACAATCTGAATGGGATTATGTTAAAGAAATCACCTAAATTCTTCAATTGCCTTTTATTCCAACAGCCTTTAAATCTATTTTATATAAATTTATAAAACACAGATAGTACCATTACTATTCTCATCATAAAATGAAATTCTTGAGGCAATTTTGCAACGGCATCCATCCATTCATCGATCTATAAATGTGATCCCTCTGAAAAAATGACTTGAAATAATCACGATGTGGACGAATTTTTGTTAAGAAGTTGCTATGTTGCAAGAGCAAAGAAGCTTTGCTAAGGCGTGAAGAGCCACTTCAGAAGGCCATATCCAAGCACTCTTAACACCCCTCTAGAGATCGCCATCATTTCTAGCTCTTTTCCCACTCTTTCACTCGTCGGGAGGCCTTTGGAAGTGAAGAAATTCTAAATTCTTTTTTTTTTTTTGCTCCCTTACGTCACACCATCTCTTGATAAAGAAAACACCGATGATTAACATAATCAAACTAGCTACTGAGCCAACTGTAGTGGCAACAATGCGCTTTACTGGTGGCGGAGGCGGCGCCTTGCAGGTATCACAACACACGACGTCTGTGATTGTGTGCACTGGAGCATCAGTTTTGGGACAGAGTCCTCCGTTCGCAGGCATGATTTTGGGATCCGATCCACATGGTTGTAATGTTTCATTCTGAGGGGGTTAAAGAAGGTGAGTCCATCAGCACAGGTACACAGTCAAACATCGACAAACTGGAACTGCACAAGTGCTACGAACCGATTTCAAAAGTTGGAGATGATCACTTACCGTGACGCTGCAAGTCAGGTTGACGTATCCATTCACATCTAGATTCACAGAGTAACCAGTTACCCTGTTTCCCAATGCGACGTTCACTGCATCCGTGAGGGGGCCAAGCAGGTCGATGTATATTGTAATCCCGGCAACACCGATGAGCTCTCCCTGGTAGAAAGCTACACGCACGTGAAGATTCAATGTGAGCATCATCATGTGTAGCTTGTAGCATCCACACATCTACTGCACAAAAAACAAAGTGAGTTGTGAGCTGCGGTGGACTAACGTTGTACCTGATTTAGAGATGGTGATGATGTTACCACCGATCTGCTCGAAGTCTCGATACACGTAACTGTACTGAGGTTTCCCTCCGGTTATAACTCTCCTCAGATTCGCTAAATACGAGAAGTATTTGGCGAACGCCAGGAGCCCATTATTTACGTTCTTTAGGATGGGTTCGAAATGACCTCCGACGTCACAGAGCTGCTGTGGGAGAGTAGTTTTTTCCAGAAAGACATCGTTGTCGTTGGAAGGCTTCAATTTGTAGAGGAAGATTTTAACCTTCTTGCTACTCAGCTCTGCAGTTGGGAGAGTGACGTTTCCTAAGGTTGCGAACACACCGTCCGTGAGCACGATGATCACCTGCGATGAACAACGATGCCTACATCATCAGTTCTGGGCTTGCACATCACAAATTTTGAGGTTTGATGTTTCTGCTGGAAAAAAGCAAACTAGAGATTTCCAAGACCACGTGTTTCGGAAATCCTAGCGAACGGAATACGCATCAGGTGAATGGGATCAGCATTTTAAATCTAACGAGACCATTCCTAAGCAGCAATTCGGAAAGTAGACAATGGAAACTGAATTTTAGATTTGAAGACATTGGTAAAGATGAGGGTAGTAAGAATCGAGACTATACCCTGGCAGCCTGCGAATTTGCAGCCTCGAACATTGGTAAGGCCGTCAGAATAGCATTAGAAATATTTGACTGCTTGGATGAGCCCTCGATGGTTTGTTGATCCAACTTGGCCTTCAAACCCTCTAATCCGGGATCCTCATCACTGCCACTGCCATTGCGGTGGACCAATACCTGTCCCAATATCTCAGTCCATGTTAAGATGTCGAAATGTAAAAAACGGGACTAATACTAGCTTCTGAGCGACGAGGTTCAACCAATAAATCTGATCGAGGTGGGGGTCTGCGATTTGACATTTACCGCTGCTGGAGACAACGGTTCGGCTCTTGAACTATCAAAAACAATTATGTTCATGTAGTCTGTCTCACTTATAGTCGTAAACAACTGCTTTGTCATGTTCTTCGCCGCTTGAAATATCGTCCCGCTTCCGATGTCTGGAGGGAGAATGTTGAGCATGGTTGGACCGACGTCGATTAACACCACAACGACCTTTGTTACCGACGTTGATGTCCTTAACCATGGCCGGACACGAGGATCAAATAATCTGCAGTCGTTGGCATTCTGCGGCTGTTCACGACGTGGAACACACACTCTCTCGTCAGTCAATTATCGTTGAGTATCTCAATACCTTCCAGCGAAGTCAGTGATCAGTGTGTCTAAATTGCACTCATATGCTCTCAAAATGCAAGTGATCTTGTCTGCAATGAGAATGAGGAATGGCATTCTTGCACGCACTAAAAGCCTCAGCCAGGCTACTCAAGAGGCTCAGCTGTGGAGAAATACTAATAGAGGAGACACGGTACAGAGAGTTCAGGATGTTACCGATCCTGGAAATATGCGCCAGCTACCATCCAGTGGAGCAAAGAATGCCCGAGAGAGAACATTGGGTTTGGACAAATTCTTGAACAAAGGGTCGAGCATTCTTTGACTGCAAATAGCCAGCATTGTGTCGATGCTCTTTATATCCGTATTTTGTCCCAGTCTGCCGAGAAGAGTAGCCCACCAAGAGTGTGCATCAGACAACTAAACTCTCATCCGCTGAAGATTGCAAAAACTAGGGCTAACAAGCGACAGACGGTAAACTCAATTGACAACTGTCGAGTTTGATAGAACCTGACATAGCCCCCACTGTAATCAAGGTTCATTCTGTGGCAGGTGTCGTTGGTCGATCCTTGAAGGTGGCAATGCTTATTGTTGTTGACAGCCATACAGTGGAAATCCCCTTCTCTTTCGCTGAATTGCAGCAAACAAGCATCGTGCGAACAATTTGAAGGTGCATCACAAGTTGCGAGCAATGCTGCGAAATACACACGATCATTGTTCAGATGGGCTCGAAGATTCTAGAAAAACCGATCTGCTGGTCAGCCTCTGCTCAACTATGAGCTCGACTTTCGAGCATGGGGCGCTTACCAACAAATGGAACACTCAACATCACTCCAGTATGAAGCAAAATTTGAATAGAATGGCTCAGAGATGTGCCAAAACGTACAACACTGCTGAGTGAAGTTTATAATTCCCTGATCAGCTATCCTCGCAACATCGATTTCTGTCGCATCCAAAAGATCACTCCCTTCATCTGCGGCCACTAAAAGTGAACACTCCAGGAACATGATGCAGACCATGAGCAGAGTGACCCAATGTCCACTCATGGCGCTCCCAAGTTGTTCCAAGGAAGACTAGTTCTAGTACAGATGCTGTAGTGGTCTGCACACATTTGGAAAATTTGCAACACTAGTGTCAATCATTGAGAAACTCGATTGCAGTGCAACTCTGCAGCTGGAACCGACTAGCGCCAGAAATGAACAGTGCACTTGCCTGAGAGATATCTGTTGTTTACACCTTAGAATTGCCACTTTTGTACAATTTCCTAAAGCATCCCGACTTACACCCTTGCTAGCGCACTGCCACAATCCTTGCCTCAATTGCACACTGCTTCTTTTTGGAATCCGGTGCAAAATGAATTTCGAGTGCGGAAGTCAGAAACTAGAATCGTGTGACTGCAATTGTATCACCGTACTACATCTGTTGAAGGTCTACACTGACGAAAAACGAGGCTACCAGTTTGTGGAAACGACACCTAGGTGTCAGAAGCTACAACCATTAAACATGCGCGTTGTGATCTCAGACAGTGCGGAATGAATCCTACTTTCAATAATGCAAGTTCTTCTCGGTGAGAGTGACGCTCAGCATCAATTCCTCCGACTAACGAAAACTCCCCCATGCTAAACCAATGAGCTCATATTTGTGTAATCCAGGACCAACAAACTAGGAGATTCCCAGCTTCGTCGGTGTGGTTGCTTCACACCCAGTCTTGTTGAACAAGGCAGAAAAAGCTCCATCCTTATTTACAGAAAAGGGGATCTTTGCCAACAATTCCAAGAATATTGAGAAAATGAGATGAGTCTTCGAACTGTATTTATCACTCATTTCTCGCCTAAAATACTAGTTTCTTGTTCACACCTGTTTGACGGAAAAGGCATCACCCAACCCTTCGATGATAAAATACAATTGTAAAACGTTGTTCAAGGACTTCCACAGTGGAAAGAATAACGGAGTGACAAAATTGTCCACCCCACACGAATGATGGATAAGCAGATAAGATCAAGACTGCACAATTCCAGAATAAACTAAGGTACAAAAGCATTGATCCCGAGGAAATTAGAAAGAAATGGGCGACTGTCGCCGTTCGAGAGGTGCTTCTGAAAGTAGGTGGCTACAAGGCCGCCACACCGAAAGTTAAGTCTAGATTCGGAAAATGTATTTTTCAATGTATTAATTTCAGCAGTACACCGATAGAAATCCAATCGTCGAGGAATACTTGAAGACTGTCTACCAGTCGCTGACTCAAAATTTGAACCTAACAGATCGAGAGAAAAATAGATGTTTGTCAAGTGGACGATATTTAAGTGAGGCTTCACAGAATATACTATGTGCAATTACGAGAGGGTTTAGTTTAAAACTATGGTATGAATTTATATAATGTGCAGCCGTGAAAAAAACAGTATCGACCTATTACGCGGCTGCAGGGTCCCTGATGCAAATCTCCACTGCTACCTAGTGTCGTTGGAACGAAGATAAACCTCCGATCAAGACTTATGCACACCTCGATACAGCTTACTGACGTTCTCTCTAACGGCACTGATTTTGGAGCTAAGGCCATCGGGTAAATTTTGATCATCCCGGTACACATGCTCGTGCAACGATTGCGTAGTGGACACGGAGCTTTGCACAAGCTCCTTTAATTGAGTTAACTCCGTTGCAAGCTGGTGCTCGAGATGGCCAATGCGATCTTGCAACCGGTTCGCCGTCTCACGGCCCTGCCGCTCAACTTCGGCTACCTTGTCGCGTAGTTGTCTGGATTCCTCCTCCGCGGCGCCACTATCGTGCACCATCACGTTGATAACGAGGATATGCGGACTGGAATACGCTCGTTTAGCATACCTCAACTGCAAGCCATCCACGCACACTTCCTTCACCTCAAGGGTGTGATCCTCGTGAGCGAACTGTATTCCCTTCCATTCTGTAATCAAAGACGCGATATGCTTCGTCTCAACCGAGAGGAGCGTTTGCGCTTTCTGCGGATTACGAATAGTGCGACCAGCAGGAAAGGGCACGAACCAGAACTGCTCGCCATCGCCCTCCCCACGAAGGCGCTCCAGATCGTCGAAACGCAATGTGTGGCGCACTGTAAAAGTATGCGACAAAAGGTCATGAGATGACTGTTTAGTTCCAGAATTTGTCGAAACTGCAGTGTCTTCGCAAGGGAGGGGCGCACTTAACTGGGTAGCATAATCACAGAGCTCCCAGAAGCCGCAGTAGTCAACTTCAATGTACCCAGCGGGACTCTGAAGCGGACCATAGCTCGACAAATCTTGACCCGCCCAACCCCCGCTCTCATTCACCTCCGTCGAGAAATAGATACCATTCGGCATTGGCGACCACACGCGTGCAGAATTCACCTCCCTGCCGTTCCAATACCACTTCAAACCCCCCGGCTCATGTAACAAACCATACGTCGCCCACGCAGACGGCTCATCAGGAAGATTCATCTGCTTGTACGCGACGGACTTGTGATTCGCGCCATAGCCGCCCCAGTGCACCGCCGTGTTCCCCTGCCGGGAAACATCCGCGCCACTCCCATCCCTCCCCCGGTGTTCCACAACATCGATCTCAATTCCCCCGTCAATCTGTCCTGGCGGCACGGGTTTGTCCCACATCCCATCCGGCAGCAGCCAAAACGCACAGTGCATTCCCTCCGCTCCCAGGAACCGGCACCGCGTCTCGTAATATCCATACCCAAATTTCTCCTTAGTGGCCAGCCGATCAATTCTGTGGAACCAATCCGAGAAAACGCAGACGCGCAGAACCGACTTCCCTAAGCGGGCATCGTTCACCACCTGCGCGCACGCGGGCTCCCAGTGAATCTCTTTGTTCGACTTCGCATCCCATTTCCACTTCCCCTTCCCCATCGGATGCCGCCAGTTCTTCTCCAAGCATCCCGTCTCCGTAAAATTGTCCCAAAAATTATTGCGCCACGAGTGTCCCGCTTTCGGCGCCACGCCAGGATCATGTGCACGAGATTGCGTCGCCATGCTCAGCTTCAGTTCGGCAACTACCCGCGAGTCTCTCGTCGCAAGCTGAAATTGCCATCGTCACTCTATCATCGTTCCCGCTCCCATCACTCCTTCCTTCTTGCCTGCTGCTAATTCTTCCGCTATAGTGATTGATCCGATCGCTGCTGCTGCAGCAGCTTGACGGATTCAAAACAAGGATTTGCTCAGACTCCAATCCGAGCCACCTGTTCTCGGAATCGGCCACCTGGTTGCACCAGAATCGACCCAATTTTTAATCACAGTCTGCCGAATCCACGAAAGGACTCGGTGAGCCTCGAAGCGCGCCTGTGCTGCCACGTGGCGGCCATGTAATTTGCACTCGCTGTCTTCGAGCACCGAATTCGTCAGTTTCCACCTACTCTTGCATTGGAATATACAACCTTGAGGCAATCACTGACGCAACAGTTTCACAATACACTTACGCGGATTCGCAAAGAATGAACATTGAAGAAGTCTGAGTTATTCTCAGCATCTTTTCCATTGCAATAGTTACATTATCAGTTTCGAAGATTAAAACTTCCATACATTATTAGTCTACAAAATCCTTCGTAAGAAAGTGCTCAGATGTTACGAACCCACTAGCTGGATGAGATCCTCTCCTCAAGTCTAAAGGATCACTCAGTTCCTGCCAATGTAGTGTGAGGCCTGTACATGACAATCCTCAAAAATGATGAATGATTGCATTTCATGAACGCAACGCGACTGCCAAAGGCAAAGTTAATTTTCCGGATGCGCCAACTTACATTGAGGGGAGCGACGTTTGGCATACAATTTGAAGCTTATCAAATATATTGTACAACATAATATGATGGTTTTCTTTTTTTTGTTGAAAAAAATCGTTTCAAGGTGCAACCGACCATGCTGGGGTTGAAAAAAAAAAAGCATTTAATGTCAACGTTCCAGCAGCAGTGGTTTTCTTGAAAATTGAGGAGACACTGGTTTTGTGGGTACTTTCGTTGACCTGCACAAGTAGAAACCCAACTAATATATACCTCTCACATGGTATGATTACGCCAATTGATCTAGACTCAATTAAAAATTAGAAAAAAAAAGCATCCTTCAAATCACATCAAGAGGATCCCAGAGTGGTCTATCAATATTATGAGTTTTAAATAGTAAAAACATCACATGGAGAGGTGCATCCATTAGGTGTTCATACTCTTCAAATTAAAAGAGGACTTGGAGTGTACCGCAATGGTAAACGTGGTCGAGGAAATGCTGGCACAGGACGGGCTGTTGGTACCATTTCCTTCCTCATGGCCTTTAAGAACCTCTCCTCTTCAGCCTGTTTAAAAAAGTTATTCAAATTCCATGCTGTTAATCACATGAAACACCAACTGTCTTGCTAGCTCTTCATAATGATAAATATTAAACGCTAGTGAATGTACAATAGACTGATTTTATTTCTAGTCGATGCGAGGAAAATCAGGATTGCTCGTCAACATCACAAGTCAATCCAAGAGGAGATCTAGAAAATAACCCGAAGTTTTGATCATTTATAACTTGAAAATATAAATACTGAATTTTGTACACTTATCAAGACAATCCAATGGATCCATTGCCCAAAGATATGCCAGAAAGGCGGAATGAGACTTACCTTTCTTCCAGCCTCATATTTTTCAAGATAAGCCTTGTACTGCTTCTGCTTCTCAGCCACCTGTCAGACGCAGGAAAAGTGAAATAGCTAGCAATCAGTTATTTTGTGATTCGTTGTTCTTTCAAAATCAACTTCACGTGTTAGTAGTTGTAAGAAAAACTCAGCTACACTGGGAGTAACTGTTAGAACTTCACGAATCTAGCACACAGCCTGCATAAAGAATCTTGGCGATGTCATAAGCGTTCATTGTGAAGGTCGACATCACAGTGCTTTCACTTCTGCTTTCACCAGAGATAAAACTAGGTTCATTCATGCCATTAACATGACAGTACTTTACGAGTTGAGTCCACCTGATTCCCAAATCTATTCAAAAAGTACTTTGACCTTGGTATTGAAATGGACCAATGACCTGTGCAGTGTTACGCTAATATCCCGCACAAGTTATGAAATGCGCTACCAATCGCAACACTGTACAGGTATTTAAGAAAAAGTATAGAAAACTCTGAAGATCATACGAACTGCACATGAATCAAAGAAATTTAAAACTTACAACAAAAATACATTGCATAAAGAGAACGTTAAGCTTTACCATTTTTTCAAACTCTGCCCTTTCCATAGCGCGTTGCTCAACATTGAGATGGAAATCTTCAATAACAGTAAGAGGCTTTCTCCGTTTCTCTGGCAAAACACTTTGTGCGCTGCACCCCGACCAAAAGACACGTTAGCTCTCTAGGTACACATGCAGGTAATAGAGATCAAAGATGACCGTCACCAAAAGAGTTCATCACAGAGAAAACTACTAAGAATGTCATTCATATGCCATCCTACAATACACCCATCAAATATTGCAAACTTTGACCGTAGCAAAAAACTGACAGAGCTGGGCTCAAGAAATCATTTAATAACTGGTCTTCTGGAGGATCTAACATCAACACAAATACTCATTCATCATTCCCAATATTGATTATCCCATGAAAAGTTAGGAAGACTTAAAGCGAACTAGCGCCAAAATACATGTGGCTCAGAGGGAGGAATTGAAAGTGACCAAGAGATTCGCTACAGGTCTTACTTGGAGAGGATAGGCTGTGCACGGAATTCTCTCAGTGCTGTTTCGAGTTGTTCAGCTTGCATTTGCTGGCGCATCATCCGTTCTTGTTCCTGCTTATGAAGCAATAAGCTTTCTAAGTAGAACGGCTCCGGCTTCGTACATTCTTTGGGAAGGGGCTTCGGAGGTACCTGGAAGGAAGGATCAAACATATCACCTCCTAATCCAACTGCCGGGGTATAAAAACAGTTCTGACAAGTACCATAAATGTCGGAAGCACATCCAGGATACGAAGCAGTCAAAGAGCGCTAAACTAGTCTCACGCGACTTCAAGATCTCTGACGCATCTACATAGACATGGAATCACGAGTATTCAATAGTGAATGTCTTTTGACTACACTTACCTCTGGGAATTCGGTGGTCCAAGGAAGCGGGTGGGCTATCGGTATGCGGGCCTTTACTTCTTCCTGTTGTTGTTGAATTCTCACCTGAATTTCCCTCATTTCCTTTGCCAATCCTCGGTCCTATTGAAACCATGAAATCGCTATATCAGCCGTAATACATGGACATTTCTTCGAACTGCATCTAAGGTTTTCAAGTTACGGTCGAAGCTCTAAAAAGAAGTTACACAATCAATGTAACTCTATATTGAGTAGGATTAGAGTATGAAGAAAAGGTACCTTTGCATTGTATAAAGATAATACACGGAATACACACAAGAGCAATCAATAGTCATAGTTAACAAGATAGAAGCACAAAAAGTAGGTGGTCCCTGAGCATTGGACTAATTCTTTCTTTTAAAAATGCACTGGTGTATGGGAATGAATTTGAAATAGGCTTACATCGGTAGCCAAACGGAAAGGCTTTGGTATCGTTGGTCGTAATTTTGCGTCCTTCTCATTCGGCTTGCTTAAGGAAAGCTACGTGTGCAAAACAGTCAAAGTTAGACAATTAGTACCTTTATCAATATGCTTGAGAAGCTCACAACTTGCGACTTCAACGTATCAAACGCACCCTTTGAATCTGAAATAAGGACTTACTTTCAATATTTGGTCGACAAGAACGTCTGGATCACGGGTGTGTGCGCGTTCATCGGTCTTGAAGTGAAACTCCTAAAATGAACAAATAAATCCGAGCCTATTTTGAAATTAACACCCAAAACCCCGGCCAGTGCAAGTTTTGCCTCCACAACCTTGTGAATTTATTAATTAACAACTTACTTGGGGTACAGTAACCTCTCGTTTCTGATTCCGATAAAGACCGAGATCGTCTTTGCTTTCAAAAATCTGCAAGTACAAAAATGAACTTAAAATATTCAAAACCAGGTGTCGAGTTAAATTGAGCAGAATTTGAAGCATAACTTGATGATTTTATTGCTGGAAAGTCATTAATTGAACTACAAATTCTTTAATACCTTCTATTCCACATATCAGGAAGCTCATTTGCAATTGTGATTTCTATGAAAAGAAGGATCAGGTTGATTGTATCAATTTGACGACATGTCAGGAAGAGTGTATTGCAGAGTTCTGACCATCTTGTTGAGTTCACGTGCTTTGAACTTGGGTATCTTTGCAAGCTCCTCTTCTTCTAGCTCTTCCCGGCTTTTTACCCTACATATAAATCCAGATCGGAGACTGGTCAGTGGAAGGTCGCACAACGAAAATTAACACAACAGGAGGAAAAATGCCAGCCATTCCGGTCCCCTAAAGGTCCATCAATAGCAATCAAAGTTCAACCACTGACGGTAGCTGATCATACGTAGAAGGTCGCGCACGATTAGCTGTTTCGAATTGCGGTGGTCGCGGTTTAGAAATCTCCTTTGTTACCTTCGGCACATTCTGCTTCACATTTTCATGCTATTTGTCAGCACGTCATAGTCAACGACACATTCTTGGAAAAAGAGACTAGCAGTAGTTTGATGGAACTCAAACTTCTACTCTTTAGTGTTTAAAATACACGAGTTTCGATACACACCGAGGTAGAGAGAGAGTCCGCAGATAGGATAGATGATGAGCTTGCATGATGCTGTGCCCGCTCCATGGTATGCAAGTGAAATTCCTGTAGATGATAGAGGTCAACTATGAGACATCACTGGAAAATTAGAATTAATCAAATAATTACGGAACAGCATAATAGTTTCACCTATGTGGGATGAACGCAAGAATCAGGATACAAAATCAGACCTTGAAAAAGCGACTACCAATTAAAACGACTGGACACGACGAAGGTACATTGATCAAGTCCTAAACCTCTGAGAAATTCTTCGGTTCAGGAACCTAATATATTTGAATTTAGATGGAAGAGTACCTGAAACTCTTGAACTTGCGGAGTCGATTTCGTAAAGGTGAGCAACACAGGTGCCTGCAAAATCTGCATCAAAACCATCAATGCAGAAACAGCGGTTTAAGAGTAGGAAACTTGTGTCTTTTTCAAAAATCCCTCGAGACGTTTTTCTGCTTACGTGTTAATACGAGGTATCAAAATATACTCACAAAGAAGGAACTCTGAAGCTCAATCAAAATTACAGACATTTGCTAGGTTATTCGCTGCGTAAAATTGTAAAATCTTGGACATTATCAACAGCAGTTAATTATTTGAAACTGTGATTTCACCAATTATGACGAGAGTAAGTTCCTGAGACGACTGGAAATAAAACACCCTTATCACTGTAGGATAACCAGTCACCTTTTTTGGTAGTGGGCGAGCCTTGAACTTGGGCATCTTAGCGAGCATTTCCTCTTCAAGCTCTGCAGCGCTTTTGACCCTGTTGAGCATATCCAACGACACCGAATCCCAGTAAAAAACTGACGAATACACCTAATTATCCTAATTGTGAGAAAAATGTTGAGTGAAAGAATATCCTTCTCTGCATAATCTTGCAGTCGCGCTCTTGCTTCCTTGATGCATACAGGAGTTGCTGCTAGCAATGTCCACAACATCAGCTTCTACTCTACTTTTCATTTATGAAGTATTCATTTAAATTTAAGATTTTTGCTTTAGCATGGCAAGCATCCATTTTTAATATGGTTTTGAGAGAACATCAGAAAGTGGATAGGAAGATATCAGTACATTCTTCAGACAAAAACAAAATAGTTGATGAATGGTAACAAACTTTGGAGGTCGAACTCTCTGAGACGTTCCAAATGCCGGAGACTTAGCAACTGTTAACTTCGGTCTTCCTTTGCTATTGTCGTGCATTTTCTCCTGCTAAAACATTACCTTCACTTAATGTAGGTTCGTTTCACTTTTCGAACAAAACAGCATCAACAATGAATTCCAAAAAATTGAATTTAATGGCTTTCCTTGAATATGATTTTTAAAGCGCTCCAGCATTGATGTAACTAATAATGCAGCTGTAGAAACTGTACAAATCTTTACCTGGGTACCCCCATTCATGCTGGGGATATGGATTCGTTTTGAAGACTTCATATGAAATCTTCGAACTCTTTCCGCCATGGAAATAAAGGGTGAACTCTGAACAAATAGTGAAAAATTCGAATAAATATTAAGTATGGACAGAATGTGCATGATTCATCACTTCCTGAATATCAAACACGGTTGAAAAATGAAGCATGTAGACACAAGTACTTTTCAATTTTTGGGGTGAACCTTGTTAGAATCTTCGTGGTGAATAGGCGCCCTTGTTTCTGTCCGAAGCTGGAACTTATCAGGCACTGTCAGAGTTAGAAGATTCTTTGGTCTTGGCAACCTGTCTTTCATGTACGATATCTGCAGGTAGTAACATACAGCAGGATTAACAAGTGGCAACCAGCAACGAATTTCGTTTGAACAGATAAAGTCATTCAAGAGATGATCATCCGCAAAAACCAGAGGATACCTGTTGGGGTTTCCCTCCCTCTAGTTTCTGCTTCTTCTCGGCTCGATTACCACGCTTCGAGCTAGCAAAGATGGGTTTTTTCTTGGTTGAAATTTTAACACCACCGCGACTGTTGCGTTCAAAAGAACATTCAAAAAAAATTTCAGGTTATTCGGTCGAGAATAAGTTGCCACGGATTCAACATCAGACTTACAAACCAAGTATTCAAAGAAGTTGTCCAAATTTTTATCAACTACGAGTAAGAGAGCTATGATGACAGAACACTAGAAGAAGGCATGAACACATGGTTAATCAAAGAACAAGGAGATTCCGCACTCTTATCGAATACCGAGAAATACTAGAAGTTGTTTTGGAATGTATACAAAGATAGAAGCAGAATTCATCTTAGAAGAACCCCGATAGAAATGAATACTTAGTATGGATTGAACTTCTTGATTGCGGGTATGTTTTAAGAGTAACTCAGAGGCAAACACGGATCTCACCTTTGTGTACTGCAGAGCAAGACAAGCCAACAACGACAAGTATCACACGACACAGCCTAGACTAATGAAGTTGAAGAAGAAAACGACTAACCTAGAATTCCTTTTCTTCGATAGTGAGCGAGGTTCTTGCTCAAGAGGAGATGCCTCCTTCCATGCATCTGAATACAGCCGTTTAGCTGGCAAACTCCCTGGAGATATGACAAGGGCGGCCAAGGCAGAAGGAGGTGTCCGATTGATAGTGTTCTCGATCGCCCCAGTAATTGCGCGACCCACAGGTGTGCAAGGTTCTCCTTGCAAGCATTTAGTACTTGGGACTGAATCAACAAATTCAAATAGATGAACCGGGTGTCAATGTTCAGAAGCATCGTATCAGATTTCAGAACAACGTGTATAGGGGAAAGGTTTCACGCAGCAGATGAACTATTACTACTCAAAATTAGTCCATTGCAAATGGAATTCTGAACAAAAACTTGAAACCTTAACAACTAGCCATAGCCGGAAAAACAGTTAGCCCTGACTATTCCTAACTATCCTGCACCCATCAAGGCTTCAGCAAGCTGATCAACAGTGGTTTACTTGAACCACCACATAAATGGTACAGACGGACGAAGTCTTCTGCAAGTATAATATTTCTTCAAAACCGAGAAAATTGCAACCTGAACGAAATTCGAACCAAGCGATAAATCTACATGCAGGCTGATGGTTTTAAGAGCTAAGCGGCTAAGCAACTAAGCTTCCAAACTTCATGAAATCTAGATAAAGCAAGATGGATCCGCCAGAGATGTATTTAATGATTCAGAACGTCATAGTGTGGGGCAACCCACCGTGATGGTAATTACCAGTCGATTTTACTAGGTGTTTCAAATTTGTAACGAGTCCCGACTTGGCAGATTTCATGTGAATGAGGGATTACGTGAAGAATTGCGAACCTTCATATGACATATCAGTATTTCCTTCACAATCCTCAATTTTTTGGTTGAATTCCTCTTCGCAACCAGCCGAAAGTTCTTCGGCGTCCTTGAATGCATGTCTATTGGCTGGCAGTGGTGACACATGAGCTAAAATCTGTCATCAGTTGCATTGCATTCATACATCAGCTGACTTTCACAGTAGATTATCTAAGAAACATAGATTTATCACTAAAACGAAGTCCGATGTTACTACAGACTGGAACATATTCGTCTGGCGAACACAGATTAAAAGTGTTACTGAACAAATTATCTTTCCTGAAAAAACAGTCAAATATAGACTTTAAGGCATCTTTTTTACATTCAGGTCATCGCCAAACTATAACTTGTAATCACTGACATCTTTTAATTCAGAAGACATCTCAATAACCCTTTAGCCGATATGCATTCGCTGGGGTAAACAAGTTGAACTTGCTGCTGGTTTACCTGAAGTGAAAAAAGGGAAATGTTGGCATATTGTGACCCAAGGCATGTCTACATGTGAGGGAGGAAGGGTGAAATGAGAAAAGAGTGCGGACCTGCAACGCCTCAAGTTTGCTTCCATGATTTTTACCCATTGCAGTTGACCGTAACTCCGCTATGGAATTGGTTTTGGAAACATGAGCTGCCAATTCGCACAATAAACAGTGAGAAGGGATCTGTTACCTCGATTTTCTTATCACAAGTAACATAAACTGATGACAATATCAGAAGAATTTAAATTTATGTCTCATTGCAATGTGGCAGTTTCCAGTGCAGTCTTACAGGTTTGGCAAGTTGGAATGCAACTGGTGTGCCAGTTATTCAATCCTTGGATCGCTCAAACATGTTAACATGACACTCATTCCCACTGACCGTCACTCCGTCTCAATATTTAAATTTGGTTGCATTTCTAAAGTTGAACGTGATAATCTATCAATGACAGTTCAGAAGTACACAAAAGATCACAATAACACGAACTGATAGGAAAAGCATGAACACGTACGAGATGCTTCACAAGGTATCGCAATGTCGAACCATCTTTCTGCTGCCAATATGACTGCTTCGGACTCTTCACAGGTGAAATCATGGTACTTCGGAGCTGAGAATTCGTAAGACCAGTCAATGTTCTTAGAAGGGTCTTTTGCACAAGCCTCTGCCTCATTCGAATAGTCCATCATTTCCTGAATGGCACATGATGAATGAATTAACCTCGAGGACAATACCAAGGAACAAAAATAATCCCTTTAAACTGATTTCCAGTAACTCTGGATCCTATTGTCTACTTTTCCGCAGGCGATAAAGGTACAAGAAAACATCGATACACAAGTACACATCAATGCTGATGACATCGTTTACTAACAATCTTGTGGCTCGCTTGAAGGAATTTTCCTGTTCCCTCTAGTTCTGTGGTCGATGATGTTAGTGTCAAAATCACATTAGAAACTGCTCAACCTCAGCTGTTAAAAGTCACCCCTGTAAGACATTGCACACAATATTTCATAAATCTTCCTTGGACCCAAGTGAAAAGAACAATTGAGGAGCTTCAGACTCTGGGTTGGCTCACGCGCCTTACGATCCGAATGGTGTTTTAAAATCACCATTGAAAAAGAAAACAGTATGCACAGAAATGATCGTTTTAAACACGTGTGCTTCATAAGCATGTTAGGAAACAGCAGATGTGTATTTTATCATCGAAATGCCTTGCATCACGAAACCTTGCATTCGCCGACCTATCTGGTTAATACTTATGCCTCTTAGAATAACGCAATTTACGCTGAAAGGTACACTCACGATCGCATTTATCCGTAACTGCTGAGAGTTTCAAACACGGCCAATGTGTAGGCACACACAAGGAAGCAAATGTACAAATATCTATGATTTAATATCCGCGATGACATGGAGTTCCAATGAGTGAGGCGTCATGCTGCGACATTCTCGTACTCTTGGGTGAGCATTAACTTCGTGGGGATAATACACACCCGCCTTATTTTTCACCGCCTGAATTCCACCTGCAATTATAGCTGACATAGTTCCTCTAGCTGTAACTGCTGTAATCGCGAGTTTGATCTCCATCGTTCTATGGGACAACGACGATTCCGGCGAGATATCGACATCCGACCGCGTACATTTAATGACAGGAGAATGCGAGGAGAATGTGATTAAGCAGAATTGAGGCCTCAAGGTGATGAGTCTTTGACGAGTTAGGTCGGCAAACATCGGCAACGCTCAAAGTCGGCAGTCGGGACTGTAATTGAAGCGATAGTTATCTACCAAGTGCGCAGCTAATAGTGTTAAGATGTCAAATACCCTGCTAGGAAAACAGTTAACAGTTGCAAGGCTCTCAATTACACAATCAGCTTAAACTTTCCATAGGAATTTTGAGCACATTGAGAGAGACCAACACCTCGATGTGTGAACATGAAACGCAGAAGGACGAGACAAAAAAAAAAAAAAAAAAAAAAAAAAAAAAGAGAGAGAGAGAGAATTATTATATGAATGCCCGCAGCCTAACGACAAGTAAAAATTGACAGTCACAGCTCCTGACCAGCTTCGCAACATGACACTGTGTTCTATGACCCGGAGGAAAAAAACGGCCGATTCACGTACAATATTCCTGAACAAATTAACCTCCAAACAAGTGCAGCTCCAAGATAATCCCCGTCACTACGACGCAATGCACACTAGAATTCCATATCACCAGCAACGCGCAATCCGCTCGAAGACTTCGCCAATTAACCCGCGGCGCATCGACACGGACAGCACGACTCACAATCATCACCTAGTCATGTCAAATACCACCTCTATACAAGCACAGCAAGCTACTTGTCGGCCGTGCATCCCCGTCTCGTACCGTATACTTGTTACGGCGTGAACACGGGCATCAAGAGAGACAACTTCCGCTCCACTTTGCTCCCTCTCTCTCTTCAGATTTCAAACGTCTTGACACCGTGATGAAAGTCCCCTTGGCACTTTTGAATGTCCGCAATCAATGGATGCCATAACGACAACGTGCTAACAATCTGATTAGACAGTGCCTACACGCCTCCGGACACGCTCTCCCATGACAATGATAATAATGCACCGTGCTCTGGATTTGCCCCCCGAATATCACCATCGTCGATAGCTCCTTTGGCATCACATGTGCTCGCTTCTGACAAAAGAATCGCGACAGCCCAGCGACCTCTGACAGATTCATGCCGAATCCCTCCCAACGAGCCAGAAAGAGAGAAACATAGAAAGCACGGAGACGAAGTCGCCTGTTCAACATGAGAGCAAGCGGGAGCCCTATCGAGTGGCGAAACTCAAACGGGGTGCGGGAGCGGGCCGGGCGGAGAACCCGGACCCTGACTCGCCCGTGCGATTTTGAACACTTGAAACACGGGAATACGTGCTTGCCACGTAGGTCGAACAATCAACCCCTTCTGAAAAGTATGTGTGCGGATGTGTGTGAATAGGGTTGTCGCTATGGAGATATCTTCAGTTTTGTCTTCTTATTTGTGATGGCGTACCGACAAGTTTTGATTTATTAGACCTTTTGTTAATAACCGCACTTTTCTCATGGTTTTGAATTCGAAAACAAATATCTGACTGGGAAATTTGGAATAAGGAATAACCAGAACCCCCTTCAGTTTCGTTAAAAAGCAATGTACATTTTGTAATTAATAAGCACTTTTTGAGTTTAGAATTGTATCTTATGTCAATCAGACAAGTTGGTTGTGAATGTGGGCAAGAACAATTGGTATCATTGTTCAATTAGTGGAAATTTTCAAGAAAAAATCAGAAACATAAATTTTAAAGATATATATATATATACACATATCTAGATACATAAAGAAAATTTAAAAATTGACCCATGCATTTAATCAATCCATCCATCATTATTGAGTGTGGATCCAACTATTTGTTCATTGGTTTTTGACAAATGCAGATTTGATAGCAGAAATGTTTTTAATGATGGTTAGGATAGATGGATTGATTTAGTAAATGCTTGGATTAATTTAACAATTCCTCATGTAGTAGTTGGCAATAGTCTTTGCATGCTTCTTTAGAGAGGAATGAACCTTTATCAAGCAATTGGTTCTATTTCTCTAACAGCTAAGCCTTTGCAAAGTATCGATGGCAGCAGTATATTTAGACAACTCAAATGCCAAAAAATTCGATAGGATTGGAGTTGATTCATTATCTACTTAATGGCTTTTACAAAAAAATAGACATCAACAATATAAAAATTGTCCCATTGCATTTTGATATCATGATTTGCACTTCCTATTTATACTAACATGTTTGCAATGCAATGATCAATTATATCTTTTGTGGTCTTTTGATGTTGGTTTTTGTTGCTTTATTTTTGTAGATTGTATCTCCAAGCTCACTGTAAGGATGTATGAATTTCCAACTATCATAGCTATTAATGGACAAACCAAAACATGTTAGTCTCTTCATTGGGTTTGAGTGGACCAAAACATGTTAGAATCTTTAAAAAAGAAAGTTAGATAATATATTTTTTAAATTATTTAAAATTTATAGCTATGTCTTGCACTCATTTTTATTTGTAATGAAGTTTTTATTAAAGAAATTATTGAGCCCATGTTGTATACAACAAACCCGTGTTGAGCTTATGAAATTCTATGTGATGTAGAATTCATGCAATCCAAGCAAAATTTTCATAGTGTATTTGAGTTCCTTAATTGCTCTTTAAGCATGTTGCAGCATTCATTTTGCTACTTCAACATGAGACTTTAGTAATCAAAAAGCACATTTGTATTTCAAAAACTAGATTTTTGAATTTATTTTTGTACATTTTATTTTTCATTCATGGTGCATTATTTCACCTTAAATGGCAATGATATCTTTCTCAAATGCATTAGCAAGAGAGAAACAAAACATCATGCAACTTAATCAATATTAATTTAAGCTACAAAAATTCATTATATCTTTATTTTAAATATTCATGAAATAATTACAAACAAAAATTTCACCAATATTCTTAAGTAATATGGTTTTATTGGAATTTTAAAAGTATTGTCAACCATAATAACAATTATGGTAAAAAAAAACCTAATTATAAGAATTTTATTTCAATCATTCATGTAAATTTTTTTATGTTCAACTTCATATGTGTAAATATATACATATATCTATTTGTGTATATAAACCAGTAAATAATTTTTAAGTTGTATATGCTGATTTTTATTTCACATGTACTATGTAACCTTGAGGAATATGGTTTTATTGAATAATTTAATTATCCAACAGAGTATTTGAATAGCTTAAGTTCATTTAGATTGCCAACATTTAGCTTGAAGTTAAAAGCTAGATGTTCTATTGTGTTGTTGCAAAATATTGCTCTATGTCAAGGACTTTTTAATGGATCACACCTAATTATTATACAGCTCACTAATCAAATTATAAAGACAAAAACTTTATTTGGAGACTACATGGAATAGTTGGCTTTTCTTCAAGAATCACATTATGTCCATCATCTACAAAGATTTCATTCAAGTTGCAGCAAAGGCAACTTCTAATAAAAGTGGGATTTGCAATAACCATTAATAAATCTCAATGACTCTTGTTGAAGAATGTAGGGATAGATCTTAGAACCTCATTATTTGTATAAAGATATTTGTATGTTGCCCTTTCACAATAAACGTCTTTAAATATGATCAAGATCCTATATCCTAAAAATAATTAAGACAAAAGTATTACCATAAATATAATTTATCTAGTAGTTCTTTTAACTTAGCTATTTTATTTTTGTAATAAATAAAATTCATGCTTATCAATTATAGAGAAGAAATATAAATAGTTCTACTATTATGCATACATTTTTTCTTTTTTTCTTTTTTCTTTTTTTTTGGTCAACATTTCTTTGGAAGTAGTAAATTTTTTACTTAAAAATAGAAAACTAAACTTTTACACCTTTTTTGTAGCCAACAGCATAGGTTTCCACTACTATATATATATATATATATATATATAACAAAAATAACAAAAATAAGTGGACATACAAGTAATATTTTTAATATTTTATAAAATCCAACATATTTCAAATAATTCATTATTATATGAAACTATCAATTCAAAACCATATTTAATTTAATTTCTAAATAAACCACTAATATAGCAATCTACTACTTAGAATCAAGATTCATCAAATATGTAATTATGTTTACTTGATATTTAAATAAATCAAATTATATTTGAATTGTATCAAGATGATTATAATAAATAATAAAAATCATATGGTTTTGAAAATTGATAACATTAAAAATTCGGATTGTAAACTACTATATTGTAAGAACGTTTTAATTGTTAACCAAAAGTATTCAATTACATCTTTGTGTTTGTGTATATGTATATATATACTATATCAAATTGTGTCATTATCATGGAGAGTTTGACTCAAATGAAGCTATTTTGTGAGCCAAAGAATATTTTTTAAATTCAAATACAAAACAATAGAAATAGAAAGAAAAAAATTACATAATCGAGCTTTCATGTATGAAGTAGGATAAATAAATCCATGTTGTTGTTACGAATAAAAACTATAAATGCAACTATAAAGATAAAAAATATAAAAAAATTAATTGTTACTAAAACATTCTTTAAAATAAAAAAGAAATAAAATATAAAATATAAAATATAATAATAATAAAATAATAAAAAAGAGGATATTATTTTAGAATAACAAAATTATAATAAAATAAAATATTCTCTTAAAGATAAAAATAAATATTAAAAATTATAAATATTAAAATCTTAAAATTATAAAATATTATAAATAATGAATAGTTTTTGAAAATAATAAAATTCAAAAATCCAATTTTATGTACACTACTTTGGTCCAATCCACATTATATTAATCCAACAATAAATCCAAACATCAAAAAAAAATAAAAATAAAAACAAAAACAAAAACAAATAATAAACAAACAAACAAAGTCAAAAAGTTAAACAAAAACACAAAAACAAAGTACTATATCATAAACTTGTGTTGTTTTCATGGAAAGTGTGACTCAAATGAAGTTATTTTTAAAAGATATGTTTGTAAGCCAAAGAATGTTTTTCAAATATAAATATAATATAATACAAATAAAAAGAAATAAAATACACAATTGAGATTTTAGGTATGAAGTAGGATAGATAAATCTATGCCATTGTCGTGGATAATATACAAAAAAAGTATTTAATTTTTTTCTAAGAACTACTTGTGAAAATATAAAAAAAATATTAAATTATAAAACATTAAATCATAAAAGTATAATAAGACATTCAAAGATGTATGAAAGTTAATAAATAAATTAATTAAAATATAAAATATAAAAAATAAATTACTAATATTTATATAATTAAAACTTCTAGAAAAACAATATTCAATGTGGAATTTAAATTATCGTTTCTAGGAAGAAGAATCTTGATAGAATGGGAGAAAGTACATTGAGATAGTACTACATAAAGTTGACCATGGAAAAAAAATATGTTGTCATAGATCCAAACCAACAAGCTTAACGGATTGCCGTTAGGATTTATTTATTGTTATTGCAAATGCAAGACGGATGGAAAATTACTTTTTCTTTAGAATAAAATAAAGTTTTTTTGTTGTAGAAGTTAATGTAATCTACGAAATAAACGCCAAGTTGCCAAAAAAATTTCCTCTAAGAATTCTTGCTTCAAAAATTTGATCCATTAATTATTATCGAGTTCCATTATTATTATTGAGTTTTATTGCAAAGTCCTTGGCGAGGAGCAATATTTTTTAGTAGCATCATCGGAGTTTCAATCCTAAGACAAAGCCTCGATCTAGGCATTTCAGATGGAATAAGCAACTTGATGAATTTGATTAAATAAAAATTATTGTTGTTGATACCATCTTCAACAACAACTTCATCAGTGCTTAGATATTCTTGTTCTTTTCTAAAAAAAATATGGCCATAAACTTCTCATTTATATCCTCTACATCATCATTCTGAGCAAATAAAATATTTCTATTTCTAAAGAAGGCATCATTTGCTACAATGTCTTCTGCCAGTCTTAGATAAACAACATTTACTAAAGATATTAATTGTTAATCAATAATCATATGATCGGGAAGCTTAACTATATTATTGGACAATAAGTTTGTACCATTTCCAATCTGACAAGTGGCAAATAGAAATATTAGTCAATAATAATGCAACCATAAAGAAATCAAATGCACCACCATCTATATATATAACACATGTGTTCATTCTATACCTAAAGAAGCCAATTAGTAAACTCAATATTTGTT